GACACTCACTCCATCCTGACCCCGCAGCGCCTTCATGCGCGACGCCGAGGCGATTGCCTGCAGCCGGCGCATGAACAGCCTGACTCTGAACCGGCACACGGAGATCCTGGAGATCCTGGAAATCCCACAGCTCATGGACACGTGTGTTCGCAACGGCTACTATGAGGAGGCACTGGAGCTCGCGGCGTGCGTGCGCCGGCTGGAGAGGAAACACAGCAGCATCCCTGTGATCCAGGTGAGCCCTGTGCTGCCCCAACCCTGTGATCCAGGTGAGGCTTCCCCTGCCCCTGGCCCATGACCTAGGCAAACCCCCACTGCCCCTGCCCCATGATCCAAGTGAGCCCTGTGCTGCCCCAATCCCATGATCCAGGTGATTCCTGCACTACCCCTGCCCCATGACCTAGGCAAACCCCCACTGCCCCTGCCCCATGATCCAAGTGAGCCCTGTGCTGCCCCAATCCCATGATCCAGGTGATTCCTGCACTACCCCTGCCCCATGACCTAGGCAAACCCCCACTGCCCCTGCCCCATGATCCAAGTGAGCCCTGTGCTGCCCCAATCCCATGATCCAGGTGATTCCTGCACTGCCCCTGCCCCATGATCCAGTTGAGCCCCCAATGCCCCGTGATCCAGGTGATCCCTGCATTGCCTCTGCCCCATGATCCAGCTGAGCCCCTCACTGCCCTCTGCCAGCCCTCCACTGAGGACTCTCTCCCCACCAGGGCATCGTGGAGGAGGTTCGCCAGTCGGCCCAGCTGATGCTGAACCAGCTGATCCAGCAGCTCCGCACCAACATCCAGCTGCCAGCCTGCCTGCGCGTCATTGGCTTCCTGCGCCGCATGGACGTGCTGACCGAGGCTGAGCTGCGCGTCAAGTTCCTGCAGGCGCGGGACGCGTGGCTGCGCTCCATCCAGGCCTCCATCCCCGACCACGACCCCTACCTGCACATCACCAAGACCATCGAGGCCTTCCGCGTGCACCTCTTCGACATCATCACGCAGTACCGTGCCATCTTCTCGGACGAGGAGCCGCTGGTGCCGGCCGAGGGGCCCGGGGAAGGAGCCATCTTCCATGGCTGGGTGCTGCAGAAGGTCTCCGAGTTCCTGCGCACGCTGGAGCGTGACCTGAGCCGTGGCGTGGGCGGCAGGCTGGACTCGCTGCTGGGGCAGTGCATGTACTTCGGGCTGTCCTTCAGCAGGGTGGGTGCAGACTTCCGTGGGCAGCTGGCCCCTCTCTTCCAGCGTGTGGCTGCTGATGCCTTCAGGAAGGCGGTGGAGGAGGCGGTGGAGAAGTTCCGTGAGGAGATGAATTCCTACACGCTGATCTCGGCCCCGGCCGTGCTGGGGGGCAGCGCAGTGGTGCCGG